GGCAACATGTGTATGAATTTGGTTGCTCTATTTCTGCAGAACCCTTTGATAGTAAAGATGACACTAGTATAGAAAATATTGATAAAAAATGCTTATTAATTTTGACCACTGCCTTAAAAGCAACGAAACAGTATTGTGGTTGGATAATTCCAAAGGTATAAATAGCACTTAGCTACTGTCATTTTAATTTTTAAATTATAGGTTCCAACAGTTGAGTTCCAATCTGATTGCAAGACAATATTTGAGCATCTTCAGCGAGACCCCAACTTTTTAGATGCAATTCAGAATGATCAATTTGATTTGGGAGGTGCTGTCGGAGAAGCACTTGATGCAATACACAGTGTCAGTGGGGATGTTAAAATTATGGCTGATGATTCCTGTCTTGTTATAGCTGTTATTGTTCAATGGTTGGTTGTATATATCATAAAGCAGCTTTTTCATTTAATGACTCCTGAGGCATTAGTTGCTCATGCTAGTAAAATTCCCAAATTTTTAATGAAAGCTTATTTTGAATATCAAGAACATTTTAGTTTTAAAGGATTAATTCAACGTCAGATACAAAATTTGAAGTATAATAATTGGTGAGTAAAGTTTCTAAATGCTAGATCTGTATTGTAAGTTCTGTTTTTTAGGGAATCTGAAATAACTGCCTCAAAAGTTATTGTGTACACTCGTCAGTCTTATCTGTTTAGTTTGTTGCCAATGGTTTTTCCACATAAGCAGGCAAAAGAAAAGGAACAATTATTGCTAAAGAATATCATTTATGATGATTTGAAATCTCTGAAAATGCTAAAGGTATCTTTAGATACTTCTGAAGGGGAGATATGTAAAGAAATAGTCAGTTTTATTGATAATAGAGAACAAAGAGTTTTTGTCCTCATAGCCAATATGCAAGATTTAACTGTAGAAATGGTTAATTACTTGCGTATAGTAATTGAACAGAATGAAAGCAAATCAATCTATAGTGAAAAAATGTTCGCCCTTCTACTTAGTTTTCCTCAAATTCAATTTTTCAATCGTTGTTACCCAGCTCTTTTTCTTAATGGATGGGATCATTTCTATTTGGATTCACTAACTACTGATATGAGAGT